AGGGGTAAATGGGGAAGGGGGGGGGGAGAAACTCCTTCCAAGGCCAGACGCCAAGCCCACTACAAGAAGTAAGCCCTGTACGTGCGTGCCGCCAGTGTGTAGGCCTCAGCAGGTGTGCGTGTGTATGTGTGTGTGAGTGTGTACCTGTGAGAGAGAATGTACCTGTTCCAGTAGTCTCCCGCTTTATCACCTGCAGCTCCATGTGCTTGATTTTGATGCGCACCAACAAGAAGTAAATCTTACCCACTATCACATCTTTTAAATGATATCTGAAACACCAAAGTGATACGGGGAGGGGGGGGAAACAACGCAAAAATATATATATAGTGAACAGTGAAAAAGAAAAGGAAAAAAAACCCAAAAAAACATGAAAAGATGACTAACACACATCGCTCATACAGTGAACATGTAAATGAAAAACAGTAAAGACGAAGAAGAAGTCAAGGATGCACTTTCAAACACAAAGAAATCAAAGAAAATGAGATCCACATACCGCGGGCAGTGTTGCATACAGAGGTATCTCAAAGGTTGCTAAAAATGACTTACGACTCTATGCAATACTGCCCGCGATAAAGTACACAGCAGTACATTTATGTTCTCTCAGTATTTGCTGGTCAGACCGTTCCTCTATTTCAACCCCCTGCTCAAAAGCTAAAAAAATAATAATCATTGTACATACCTTCCACGACACAGAACGATTAAGCCAACCAAAGAAATGTAACACCTTTCAAACAAATTAAACTTCTGAATTTGTCGCCCACTTGTTTTCCTTCTCTGATTCTCATGGACCACAGAGAATACTAGGGCTTCACCAGCCATGGAAAACTGTCAAATATTCACATTGATTTCTCCAGCAAATGTTTCCAATTACTCCCCTGTTTAGTTCTCCATCTTGGAACAGACACTGAGCAACCATAAAATAAGTGAGAGACGGGGGGGAGAAAAATGAAAAGAAGACCCGGATATGACCTAAAGAAATAGGCCGAAGACAGAGAAAAGAACGAACGAACAAAAAAAAGAAAGAAAAAAAATTAGAGATAATAACATACACATAAAAAATGATGAAGACACTAAAAGAGAACACTGAACAACATTGGATAAAAATATGAACTAAAAACAAAGTAACAAATCATTTAAATTGTAAAAACCAAAAAGAACCAGACACCCCCCCCGAAAAATGAGCAAACAGAGAGAACTGAAAAAAAGAACAAGAAAAGATAACATAACAGCGAGGGACAACAAAGGGTCCATACATATACCTCAGAGACAGTGATTCCCAAACACAGATCAAACTGAAAACACCAAACAACTTTACCGACTATCCTAACACAGACAAGCTGCACACAGATACACTTATACACTTAGGTATGGCCAGGAAAACAGAGACGATAGGAAAGAGATGACGATAATATCCATAACAACACCGAGCACTGCTAGAAGGCAGGCATACACACATTCATAACAAAAAATAATGCACAGACAAAAAAACAAAACAAATAAGGTCTCAAAAATCCTATCTACTCTGTGCTTGTTCGGTTTGTTTTATTTACCTGCCCCGGTCGTCTCCCTTCTCACTATAGCCAGCTCCATATACCGAATCTTAATCCTTACCAGGAGAAAATATATCTTGCCGACTATAACGTCTTTTAAATGGTACCTTGAGCCGCATGAAGGTTGACGAGAAGGAAGAGAGGGAGGGATCAGCAGAATTATGGAGACAAAAAAAAATTGTGCTACACCTCCTGACAAAACATATCTAGCTTCAACTGTGTCTGCATTCTACAGTGACATGATGACAAGCAAAACTGCAATAAAACACCACAATATGAATAAAGAACAATAAAGAATTAAATTTTATATCAATCTTCAATGCCCTTTTCTGACATTTTGTATTTGTCACTGAAGGCCCTTTTCCGACAGGCAGAATGGCAGATTTAAATGTAATGGGGAGGCCTTCAGTCAGAGCAATATGTATGTTCATGTTTAGCATTTTTTGAGGGATAAAATTTATCTCTAAAATTGAGAAGGATGTGAAGAGGCCCTTTACTCTTTAACTAACATATAAACCATTATCATTCTTTATCAGACTTGTGTGTCTGACAGACTTTACCCAAATTCATTTGCCTTTACCAAAATGGTAGAGACCATGGGATAAAATTGAGACTACACAAATTTTAAAAGGCTAAGATTCCCTAGACTGCTCTAGAAATAGTTTTGAACTGGTATATGAGATCGGCCTAGCAGCGCACCCTGCCTTGTTTGGGTAAATGGGACTTGTGCTATAAACATTCACTACATTGATCTTGCCAGAATGAGTTAAGCCTCAAGAACATCCTCCTCCAAGAAGCTATAAGAGCCACTCAGAACATACCACCAAAGTAACGTCACTACCATTTCTCAGCATGAATCGAAGAAGTACTCACTTGGATTTGTTGTATTCAAATTCAATGTGCAGACAGTCCTCGATGCCCACCTCCATCTTGATGCTGGAGTTCATCTCTGGGTACTGGGACAGGGTGTGCACCACAATGTCTTGTTCCTTCACCGTGTCCGAGATGCGCTTCACTATCGTCACCCTCAGGAAATACCTGGAGAGAAGAAGGTCCACAGTTGAGAAAGTGAGAGCGGGGAAGGGGGGTGGGGGGGAGATGGCTAACTGAACTATATATTTTTTTAAAGAGTACATTCTCCATACACTTTCACATTCTTGAGTGTGACATTATGACATACTTTCAGTGCAAGCCTCTTGATAAAAGTAAACTAGTACAACAGAGAAAATATAATGCGTAAAGAAACTAGTTTTTTTTTGCTTTTGTTTTTTAACAGGGTTACTGTAAAAAAAAAAATTTTTTTTAAAGAGTGCATACCCCATCCACTTTCACATTCATGTGTGACATTACGACATACTTTCAGTGCGTGCCTCTTAATAAAAGCAAACTATAAAACTGGCGGGACAGCAAAGAAAATATAATGAGTGAAGGAATTAGTGCGTTTTATTTAATTATTTTTCTTTTACAGGTTTGCTGTGCTGTTTCAAAATGGAATTAATTTACAGAGATGCTCTGACCAGTGCCTCTCATAATTCTTTTTTATTTTTCCAACTCTTAAACTGTTGAGTGTTGTGTTGTAGGAGGCAAATCTGTCTAACAGATGAGAAATAATGGTGACACTGAAAAGTTGAAGAAACTGAACTAGAACCCATCACGCGCCCTCAGCATAACAGCTTATCGCCCTAAACAAAAAAAAGTTCATGACCTTTTGGCACCACAAAACGGGCTATAACTCACCGTAATCTGACATTGGCTCCTGTGTAAGATTCATATGGTTTCTCCACTTGTGAAAATTCAAAATTGTAGCTGGTGTTCTGAGTAAGGTCCCCCGGTCTCGCCAGTTCTTTGACCAATGATGTGAATTCATGATGATTGCCTCTATCGTAATACAGTTCTGAAATGAAGCAAGAACATCAATCACACACACACACACACACACGCACGGCAGTATATTACTACAGTCTCTTTTGTACAAAGCAACAGAACTAGACAATTTATTTCTTCGAATTGAAGTTAACCAACTGAAACAATGATCATCATTTTTAGTAACAGCCGTACAGCACTTGCAACACAAATAGGTCATATAAGAGCCAAAGATTATAGAGTTGTTACAAGAGAGTAACAAACACACACACAAAAAAGAGGAGAGATTAGGACGACAGTTGTTTGATAGGAAAGAAGGAGCAAACCACACCACAGCACCCGCCAACCACCCACAACGATCATTCAATGCAGGGTAAGATTAAGACAGACAGACAGACAGACAGACAGACAAACAACAGAGGGAAAGAAGCTGGACCTACAAGAGGTGCCAACCAACCACCCACATCCTAGACTTAGTTTAGTTTTAGTAGAGGCTTTACGGCGCTCGCAACTGCATAAGGTCATGAGCGCCAAGGGGTGGGAGTCAACAGAGTAGCCTTTACAGGGAATCAGACTTACTTTTCTCACCTCTCTAGCTTCAACAGCACAAAGTCTACTTCGACTATCAAGGCACCCCGGAAATAGCAGGTCACAAGAGTGTGACAAACATACAAAAGAAGTAGAGGAAAACGACAATAGTAAGGATTAGGAAAGAAAAAGCAGCAGTTCCCTGTTGTAGATCAGGCACAGTTATGAGCGTGACATGATGAATCAGCCCATCTACAATTCTATGTACTGTGCATGAACGAGAAATGTCCCCCCTTTGGGAATGACCTAAAGACACTACAGTCAGTGTCACCGCCCGGGGGGTAACCACATCCTAGACTGCTTGTTTGTTTGTATGAGTCAAAAAAGAAGCACATCGACATAATAAAGGTCATTTAGTGCTGGGAAAAGGTTAGACAGACAGACAGAAACAACACAGGGAAAGTAAAGAGTAGGTCCCAACAGTGGCACCCTTCAACCACCCGCATATCCTAGACAGCCTCCTTGTGGGTAAGCTTATTTATCCATGTTAAATAAGTGCACAAAAGCATGAATTCATCCTTTTTTGTTTAATGAACAGATAAATAGGAAACGAGAGTCCGGATAATCATTTCTAGTATGCGCTAAAGACGAATACAAAACAATCTCTACCACATCATCACTCACCTATTTGTCCTATGAATTCTATTTTGATGCCTTGATGCTCCAACTTGCTTCCGCTCTTTTTTAAAGTTACATTCACCTGAGAAAGAAAAAGAACATCCGCTTTTATATCAACGTATTAAAAAAATACTGACTAGAATTTGATCAAGCAGCAACATCGAATTTCTTTTAGAAGTGAAGACTACTTGGTATTCTTTTCAATAAAAATAATTATTGTGCATGCAGACACGCTGTCGCAAAAACATTTCCTTCCAGGAATCAACAAAGTAGCTTATCAGCAAAATGACCTTTTGATCTTTCTTAATTACAAAAGAGTCACTCTCACTAGTGCAGTTGCAACGACACCTCATTCTATAGTTGTTGAACAAAGAGGAGAATTACGTTATAAATCTGTTCCTCACTGGTGGCATTCATCAACTGAAATGGATCCTCCACCTTTCACACGCTGAAATACAGCATGAACACTTTCCCTGATCCTCATAACGTCAAGAGCAGCTGTGTCAATGTGCAGAGAAGTATCGAGATCTGTGAAGCTGTTGACTGTATAAGTAGCAGTCAACAGCGAAATAAAAACTCGGACTGGCAACCGTAAGGTCATGGGTTCGAATCCTATCAGAGGTATGATGTTGTGTCCTTGAGAAAGGCACTTTACACAAATTTTTCTAACTTAACTTCACCCAGGTGGGAATGGGTACCCAGCAATAGACAGCAAAAGATTTTGTCAGTTTATTAGTGTATGAGTGCTTAATCAGCTGCTTGCACTGTATGCTTCCCGGAAAGCTGAGAATGTTTCTGAGTGTTCTCTGGTCTGCTGAGGTAATATAGTGTAAAGTGTATAGAGCTTGCTGTTGAGTAGGGACATGCGTTATAAAATGCTATTTATTATAGTATAGTATATCTATCAAATAGTACAGAACAGCCTGGTGAAACAGCTGTCACTTATGACCATTTATCAATTTTATGGGGGGGGGGGGGGGGGGGGGAAGTATTCATACACTATAGGAATAATAATTTAATATGTTGAAATACATTCATCATAAAAATGTCTACTATTGTACTCTGAAGTATATTGTATACAACCAGGAACTGACACAGAGGCACCCCAGATCAACAACCCCAACACACACATTCACATCAAAATTTGCATCATGATGAGTATCAAAACTATAACATTTGATTAACCATACCTTTCCTGAAACCGTTTCACCATCGAAGTAGAGATAATATTTCTCCTTTTTCCCATCTTCTGTCTTGATTTCAGCTGTCCTTCTGTTCTCCTGCCCATCAAGAACTATGTCAATCTCAGCACTCTGCCCAAAGCCAAAAAAGCTCTGAGGACAAAAAATGTCAGTATATATCGTCATTCTTCAAGATAAAAAGCTTTAGCAATAATCATCAATATTATTTAATATGTAAGTATATTTAGAAACAGACGAAAACAGCAACAGGAAACAAACTGAATGCAAGAGAAACCACAGTGTTTAAAGCCTAAAGTACACAGCTCTTCCATTTATTAAGCATGCTTTAAAGAAATTTCAACAAAAATTTAATTTTTTCATCGACATTGCTAATCAATATCTCAAAAAGTTATGGTTTGTGACAATTGTAACGATAAAATTCATGCCATCATAAAGGGCAAAATCAGAAACAGTCACCGGCGACCATGGTTTTCCATTCATTTCTTCCCTCAGATGCTCTCAAAAAATTAGTTTCATCCTGGTGTTTCCCCATCACCCATCTGTTCAGGTTTTCCAAATAGTCAAATCTGCCATGACGACCACCTGTATAATACGGCCACCTGTACAAATGATCACTTTCCTTTTACCCCCTTGCGTTCTTTCTATATAATTTAAAGGTGTAAAACGGCCACCTGTCCAACATGGCCACCGGCACCTTAATTTATTTTATCAACCCACAGCCAAATTTACCTTCCTGAGACCGCCAGACTTTGTCAAAATTCGTGCATTTTCCCCAGACGCCATGGACAAACAGTCATAATTCATTCACTCATGGAGGTTTTTAAAAAATCTTTTAGTCTTTGCTTTAGGGGTGACTAAATGCAAAATAGGTTACTGCCAAAGTCGAGCAGTCTTGTTTCCTCGCAGTGCCTTTTGAAAGCATTTTCAAATGAAGAACAGTCAAACCTGTGTAAGACCGAATCGCAAAGGAGCCAGAAAAAAATTCCGTCTTAGACAGGGGAATTTAGGTTAGGGGGAGATGGAGGTTGGGGGGGGGTGTTCAAGGTCCAGCGAGTGAGATCAAGGATCGCTTGTTTGATCGGCAAGCAGTGGTCAAAACTTCACACCTATCAATAGCTATCCTGTCTGATAATGACAGGCGTCAGTCTTACTTATATTATCCAATTACAACCACTGCTTGCCTTAATTCAGACCACTGTTTGACCTATTAAAAACAGAAACATTTGAAAATTTCCTTTGCTTCCACCCTTAAGGGGAGACGTACACTCCTGGAAAAATTTTCTAAACGAATGACTTTTATTCAATTTCATGTAATTGTGCAAGAAGTTCATAGGTAAATAGGATGTACTAGGGTTGAATTTGTTGAATTTTACTGAAAAATGGGTCTCTGTGGTGGCCATCTTGGATTTTCAAAGCAGTTTCTTAGTGCAGAAGAATTTCATAGTAAATATTGAATTATCAGCCTGAAATTTGGCACACAAGTACAAACCTATATGAACTGGGTATCCATGTAAGGATTTTGACCTATCTTTAAAACTAAAAAAGTGAGTCATTGGACCCCCTAGAGTCAGTTGACGAATTTTTGGGGTACATATTACAAAAAAAATGAATATTTCCTCACGTTACCAATATTTCCCAATTCCCTTTCATAGATCCCCAGAATCAATCTTAAAGCACCTGTACACCAAATTTGAAGCTTCTAGCTTCAATAGTTTTTGAAAACTCCTTGCACCCAGGAGGTCACATGTCAAAAAGTAGATTTTGAGAAAAACAGAAAAAACAGGGATTTTTAAAAGGATTTTTAGAGCAATTTGCACTTTTCAAACGCCGTTTTAGGTAATTTAGGGTGTTTTTTCAACAGTTTCTTCATTTTGACTCGATAGAACAGATGTCAAAGGATGTTTTTCTGCAAAAAACAAAAGTTGGATAGTTTGAAAAATTGTGTCAATATTGCCTTGGATCGCCGACCCGGGTCTTCCCTTAATCCCACCCACCTATGCCACCCCTAACTGCCATCATGTTACAACAATTCAAGGAACTCCTTTCTCAGCTGGCCGTACGATCAGGCCGTCAAGCATTGGTCAATCTAATTTCACACCTCTGGCTTTTGGCTACCCAGGAAAGTTTCTGCAGTGGCTCGCTACTCGAGCATTTTCACGGAAAGTCGTGATATTTCAAACAAACATCACCCTGACTATCTGCATCGCTCAGGGATCACATGATGGGGTAACATCTACCCACAAATTGCACCCCTACTCCTCTTCCTCGCCCAGCGTCATGGCCATAGCGTTAAGTTTAGAGCCGGTGGAACCAAACTTGTGAGTTTTGTTTCAAATCAGGGTTGAGTGGACAAAGCATTTTCCGTCTCAGACACGTGAAACCCTCAGAAGGGAGCGGATTTTTCTTTTCATTTCCGCGTTGGACAGGTCTCCATTTTATAAAGGGAATTAAAGAGGAATATCAAGTGGGGAGCGGGGAGATTCCGTAAAGACAGGTTTCCGTTTTATGCAGGTTTCCGGAAAGGCAGGTTCGACTGTATAGTCTGGGAACGTTGCCCCAACCACAATTGAAGTATCTGAATATTTAGACATTTAAAAATCTCTAGCTTTAGAAATTGAATTCGATGTAAAAAAAATGCTTCTTCCCAGTCCTCGCAGAATGGCAGAATGAAAGATGACGCCGAACTCTCGCAAATATCCAAAAAATCTCGAGAACGGAAACCGTTCGGAGAAATATAAGCGTTCAGAGAAATAGTCACTTCATAAAAATTATGTTGCACGTCGCTCCCTACGTTTACCCATGTTGACCAATTACCTATTTTGACCAATGTATAAATTTTCAGCAGCTTGTAAGGGAAACGTGTGATCCATCATAACCTATAAAAGCCCCACCCACAACTCAATTAGTAAACCCAGTCCATAACAATAGAAGTCAACACAGACTCGCGACAGAAGTGTTGCTCATTCGCCAAGTCGTGGCGACCTATTTGATTGTTTTACTATGCCACTTGGCCTTCCCCATCTAACACATTTCGTTTTTTGACATTTCGTGAAATTATGATTCAAAAATTTAAAGGCCAGCTCTATTTCTTCGAACGCTCGGGAAAATAAACTTGAACTCTATTTCTCCGAGCGGTTTCCGTTCTCGAGATTTGAGTGTGTGTGTGTGTGTGTGTGTGTG